CATCCATTTCTTTTTTCATTCTTTCTCATCCTATTATAGTGTATTTCTACTCCCAAATCCCTAGGTATGTGATATCCTTTTCAAGATCACTACACTGCAATACAATGTCAAAGATCCCAGACTTACTTTAGATGATGGTCCATTAGAGCTATGACCAGCAAACAAGTACAAGCAATCTTCACTACAAGCAGCACAACTGCCAGACAGTGGTGGCGGCATCTCACCAATGGTTATGCAGTTCCTCCTTGAAATATTGCATCATAATAACATTACTAAAGCCTGGTTTGCATATAATCATTGCAATTGCTAGGATGGCCACAATCGCCAAAAATTTCAACGATCATAGCGTTCATATGGAAACACTCTCCAGTGATCTCGATCGCTGGAATTGCTCAGGTTCTATCTCGGCGTACGAGGTCGCTTGGATCGCCAGGATCGCTGGAGAGTGTTTCCATATGATCACTGCAATTGTTGAGCCACATTTTCGGCTATCGTAGCGATCCTAGCGATTGTAATAACGATTACATGGAAACCAGGCTTGAACGCAAAAGGGCAAAAGTTTAAAAAAATAACATAAATTTTAGTAAACCGAAAACTATTCAAATGTAGTCTGACTAACAAAAGTACAGCAAAGGTAATGTCCCTATGCAAATGAACTTCATTAAGAATAAAGATTGAATTTGGAAAGCGCAAACAATGAAAAACTTTAGCCTTAACTATCAAATTAGATGAATTGTACTCAGTTATGCGAATCTCTTTGTTTTCTATTGCCTTATGTCCACTGCAGGTATGCACTATTAGTACTCTTTGGAGTGTGCTTTTTCATAAATGCTTGACTCAAAGGGTAAGTAGCGGTTTAGTTTGATAATATATAATTTATGTAATACTAGTCCTAATAATCAACAGTTATAAAAATCTGAACCGTTTTACCATGTATAGCATTCTACATCAAACATCCATAGCTCATCACTGTTGTGGTACTTTTCCACCGAGACACCCCAGTCTTCCACAAAAACATCCTATCAAACATGCAAAATAATGCACTTCTAGTCAATTGAATCTCCCGCCCCCCAGGGCAGGTTGGGCACTGAACGGGGGGCGTGACACGTTTTTAACGTGCTTTTAACAGCAAGATTGCCCMGGGGGGTCGGGATTTTGATGCATTGTTTTTGAAGCGGGCAAAGAGCGGGGATTTTAACGTGTGTTTGAACATGTATGAGACTGGAAACTATACCTACATTCAAATTTTTTTAAAGAAACTTAATACACATGTTTTTCTCCATCCAGTACGCAAATGGGTACACAGGATTGTGCAAAAATTAACCTTGTGTATAACAGAAAATTTGATTGAAAGGTCTTTGTTTTTGTTATTTACTACTACCAAAATAGTGGGGCAACAGGAGCGGGGATTTTAACAATGAATGTGCCCTCGACTACCGGTGGAAATGTCTTATTTTAACACCACTCAAACCTTCAATTCCCCGGTAATCCCCGGGTGTCAGGGGGCCGGAGGTTTCAATTGACTAGTGCAAAACAATTAAGTAATAAATTTCAATTTAATAAATTTTAAAGTGAACGGTTTTTGAAACACAAAAATATATCATTATATTTTTTCAACATAAATTGATCATTTCTCTATATCTTAAATTATAAAACTATAAAAAGTCTAATAAAACAAAAGCCTTAAGGAAAATATTGGGTTACCTGTTTTGTCCGAAAAATAAATATTTCAAATATATCTTACTGTAAATCCACCCCAAATGACTATCTTCCCATTCCAGTACACAGCTACGTGTCCACATCTTTCTCCGGGGAGGTCAACATCTAGAATTTTAGGAAAAAAGAACGCCATTGTTCAAATTTATAGTACTAATAAACTACATGTTTTCAATATTTTTTTCAATCACATTGCACGACACTAAGAATGAGTTATGGGTAAATTTTTACCAAAGCCGCTGACAATTCATAGTACGTAAGTCACATGGTACAAATTCGCGWTTCGGATTGGCTATTTTGATTTGGTTATCTTTTGGCTCCAGAATTTGAATATTTGGGTTACGAGTCGTTGGGTTTTTATCTCGAAACACTGTGTTTATACGAAAMGAAATAATAATACTTGATAGAAATAGGCTAAAAGAAAAGCRTTTGTATCAGTTAATGCAAGATGGTGAAGAACAAGGCGCCTCAAGAGAAAAATATTCAAGTTGCAGTCCGTTGTAGGTGAGCGATGGAACGATCGATTTATCATCAAAACTCCTCAACACAAACATAATTTCCTACATAATCTAATTGGACGATCTCAGTCTTTTCCCCTAATATTACCACATAAGGTCTATTTTATCTMATCAATATAATATTTGATCGATAAAACGAATTTTCTGGCTTCGATTTTCATCTCAGACCGCGAAGTAGCAAGGAGATCAAAGATGGCTCTCCGTCCATTGTGGAATGCGATTCCCATAAGCGAGAAATCACAATCAAGCAAGATATTGGTAATAATGCAAGTACAACCAAGACGTTCACTTTTGATAAGGTCTTCCCACCTGATGCTAAACAATATGATGTCTACAAAGCTGTTGTTCAACCCACATTAGACGAAGTGCTGTTGGGATACAACTGTACAATCTTTGCGTAAGTATAAAGCTTATTCAGCTTAGCTTGATCAAAAAGCTGAAAAGCTGTATAGTCATTTGTGTGAGGCAGGCATTGCTTCACACTGCGTTGTGGTTCTAGGGGGAGGTAGAGATGAAGACTGAAGGGACATGAGAGATGAAATGAAAATTGTAATTTCCCCTTCCCCCACTAACTGTAACCTCCCCGTCCATCTAAAGCTGCCTGCAGTTTAAAGACATAAGCTTAAAAATGAATGAATACAACACAATGATGTACTGTACATGCTTCAAAACTCTGGCACTGGATTTGAGAATCCCTTCCCCCCTGAAGTGTTTTGATTGAGATTCCAGATGATTGTGCATGTATGTCCTAATCAGAGTGTTTATTTACATGTAGTTATGGGCAAACTGGCACAGGTAAAACGTTTACTATGGAAGGAGAAAGAAGTGAGRCGAATTGTTCTTGGGAGGAAGTAAGTATTGTTTATCAAATACATGTGCATGAACTGAGCTTAAAAAAACATTGATTATTCATTCATTTATTTCATTTTGCTTATCACAGTACATTGAAAAATGTGTTGACCAATTATATATATATTTTTTATTGCTTCTAAGGATCCCTTGGCTGGTGTGATACCAAGGGCATTGCATCAATTACTGGACAAACTAAACAGCCAAACTGTAAGCAATGATTTATAAAATTACTTACAATCTTAGTTCATTGTGCAGTAGCTCAAGTTTGCTTTGYAAGTGACCTAAAAGATTGTAATTTGTCAATGATTATACAGTATAATTTTTTCTTMAAAGGACTGTGAATACTCCGTGAGGGTTTCATTCCTGGAAATATATAATGAGGAACTGTTTGATTTRTTGAGTCCAAGCTTGGACAACCAGAAACTAAGAATCTTTGAAGACTCTGCAAGAAAGGTTTGTAATTACCAAATGTACATAATAACATTGATTAAAGGTAATGACTTTACTTTAAAAAATGTATGTCAAAGTATGTCAAACCATGAATATTTCCCCAAGGTTCTACATGTATTGATTAGGTATAGTTTACAACATGAGCGGCCGTGTTGTATGGGAATTACAATCTCGAGCCGCAGGCGAGAGATTGTAATTCCCATACAACACGGACGCGAATGTTGTAAACGACTTATAAAACTCCAACACAAATTAACATGAATTACAGTGAGATAAATGACGAAAAATGACAAATAAGGTAACTGCTGAGTTTAGTCCCTATTAAGCATGCGCAATTTACTGCAACACAGAACATTTTGAATAATTATCCATCCCACATGGAAAGCAAGCCATCTGTTGCATAAGCGAGTTCTGTTATCCGTCTTTGGTTGCTTCAAAACCTAGTGAAGGTCTATGATGCGACACTAAAACTGAGACCTTTGCTAGTGTTGGGTTGTCTCAATGGTGACGACCGTGTTGTAAATCTGATACAACCACTAGTGGTTGTATCAGATTTACAAAGTCAATCACCTGATTAAATGGTCAGCCCTTATTGGAGCAATAGCTTATGCATTATTAATAAGTTTTATAAATAATAATAATTGTTACATACAACAAGACAATATTTTTTTGCCAGGGCTCAGTTGTGATTCAGAACCTAGAAGAGATGGTTGTACATGACAAAGATGAAGTCTATCAAATACTAGAAAAAGGAAGAGCTAAACGCCAGACTGCTGCAACATTAATGAATGCACACTCAAGGTGCCGTAATATTGCACATACATCATGACAGTAATGTAACACATAAGAAGTAGCAATTATGCACATAATCATTGTTGGCATGCATGCAAGCTCATGTGGCAACCTTTCACAAACCTTATAAACATCATGTTAGGTTAAGTATAATGTGGAGTGGTCATGTAACATGTAGATTGTACGTAGATGTGAACATTTATAGAACGAGAGTGCTTGTTTTATCAGGATATATAGATTCGAGCCACATCAACATCCWGAAAATTGTTATCATATTTCAGGAAAAACCTAAAAAAATGGGAAAACAGTGATAATGTATATTGAACTTCTAATGAGCATGTGCATTGTGCCACAATTGAAAGAGTTTTGATCCCACAATGAAGAATGGCTAGTCTATGCTATACTAGATGTCTGCACATTGATTCAAACTGATTTAAGTTAAAACCTAGCAAAGGTCTATGATGCGACATTAAAACGTCTTTGCTAGTGTTGAGTTGCAATAAAGCGTTGATGACCTTGAACATCAGTTCTTTATATCTGATATAGAACTGATTAATAAAACATCAGTTTTATATATCTGATATAGACGAACTGATTAATAAAGCATCAACTGGTACTTTATTGGGATGTAAAGGCCCATCATATGGACTAATAGCTCATGATTTATTAATGAGTTCTTGGTCAACACCATACTGTGAACAATTTCTACATGATTATTGTAGTTTAGAAATTTTCTAGATAACTTGCACTTATGTGGGTTTGCTATGTGTGATAAGTGAGAAAAAAATGAAATCATTTGAAATATAAAATGGCATTTTTCGTCTCTGCCCTTTGATTATAAACATAGTGGGAGCAAAAGGCTATGTTTACATCAGGGGACATTGACGTGAGTCATCGCATGGCCATTCTACACAGTATTTTAAATTCTTAAATTGGCCAACTTATAGCAGGCAACTAGGAAAACCTTCATGTACCGAACTATAATAATTAAATACTGTCTGATGAGTGCGTAGCACGAAACTCGGAGTAACAGCAAAATCTTGCCTCTTTGATATTATTTATGTACCGAACTATATAGATTTTCAATCTACATGCAGACAATTTCTTCATTTTTCTTCATTTGTCTTTGTTTTTGTAGTCGTTCCCATTCATTGTTTTCTGTGACTATTCACATCAAAGAAAATTCTGTCCATGGAGAGGAACTTCTAAAGACAGGAAAACTTAACCTTGTAAGTWCAAGAATATTTGTGTCTAGATGCAATATCTATAGGTTCCTGTTGGCACAGGTACAGTATACAGTACAA